TGTTGGATCGTGAATTCTCTTGTTGTGCTGCTTGCCTTTTTTGAAATCTCTGTAAATGAAAACTAAAGGGGTTGATATGTGCGAGTTAATGACGCGCCTTATCAACACATTGTGTTGGAGTTCACTGCTTGTTTTTATATCTAACGATGCATAAGTGCAAACAGGACCTGTAGACGTTACAAGTTTTTAAGGTTTTCCCCCTTTTCAGCCGAAAATCCGTTTTTTCGAGTTTGCATGTTTTTTGTTATGTTCTTTTATATTTCTTAAAAAGTGAACAGCTGTAGCCGCCTTCGGGGCTATTAATTGGACGGAGTTAAACAGAAAAGAACCAAGCCACATCGGGATCGAACCGAGAAAAAGAGGTTTAAAGTTTGGCTTCTGCATGATATTCAATGTCAAAGATAAACTTCTAGTTCAATTCCTGCAAAATTTGCTCCGACAAAAACTTTGAATTTTTGGCGATAGATATTAGAGCAGTGGTCGAGTTCAAAACCACTCATAACTCAATTTTTCCAGAATGTGGGTTGGTTCCTTTCTGCTTAACTCAGTCCAATTACAATATTGTTAACTGTATACTTAAAACTAAGAATTCATTAATGCTAATTTTTGTATTTTTAAACAATTCTTGTCATGTAACTTTTTTTTATTTTTGGTGTGTCAATTATTCTGAGTTCTGATGTATAATATGCATGTTCCTTATTCCTCGTCCACGAAAAGTAATTCAGTGTCTCTTCGGTGATTCTTTCCTTAGCTAGATAGTGCGGGGAAGGGTGGGTGGTGGAGGAGGGGGGGGGGGTAAAATATGCTATTCTCTACCAATTCGTCTGCTACCTCGCCACCCGCGAAAATCTCTAATTCGCAAACGTCACGGCTCTGCGCCACATTTCCGCAATTTCCAACCTCAATGCATGTAAAAGAATCCGCAAATGCCAGACGGGATTCTTTCTTCTTCGGCATTTCTAAAAACAACTATAAATCTCATGTTTCCTCGTACATTTATACTTGATTTGAATAATTCAGAAGTTTAAAGTATTTCTTTTGTTAATTAAACCAATTAGGCGAGGAAGAATTTGAGAGTAGAACTTAGAAGTTGTTTTTTCTGAATACATATTGCTAAGAAGATAAAGAGTGAAATTGAAAAGCAAAAAACCCGACTTGGAATGTGAGAAGTTTGAAGCTGTTACTCTCAGGAAGGATGGAGTCCTTAGCAACAGTCAAAGTGGCGGAGACTTATCTCTACAAAAAATAATAGGAGGCACCTTCGAGTGTGTTTCAGAACATCTGAAAGCAGTCTGTGAAAATGTCAGCGAAACAGCCTTCGCCATCTGTGAAAGAGAGTTTCTGAGCCTTATGTCAACCTTCCAACCTAAGATTTCACAAATCTTAATTTCAAACTCTTTGTTATTCGATTTACTCAAAATCAAGGAGTCTCAATAGCATTTGTCGGCCTCTCGTGCATGGTATGGTGGTACATGTATGCGGTTGTCATAGTTGGTATGCATGGTTCTGAATGAACAGATGTCCATCGTCAGCTTATGCTTGGACTGATCCAGAAACATGTGCATGGAATAAAATTGATTAAAAATTAATTGTTTGGTTGTTGTTTTTAAGGTAATTATGATCATAACCATACTTAAAAATTTTGTAATTTTAACATCATCGATGGCTTTAAAAAATAATTTTCATGAGTTCAATTTATACTGATTAGAATAGATAATCCAAGAATTCTTCTGCACGTAACCAAATTATAAAATGTAAAGCATTATGACCTCCTAAGTTTATTATTCGGGTAAAAACAAGTATTGAAACAATGACTATGATAGAGATATATTCAATAATAATTAAACTATTGATACTATGAGTTTTGGAAATTAAATATGTAGCATTTAGGTAAATCCCATCACGTTGTTTAAAGCATTATTAAGCATTTATTAATGAAGCATTTTAATCCTTCAACCATCCAAATGCAATTGTATTTCAGAGGGGGAAGGTTGGACTACACAAACTAGGGGTCTCCTTCAGACAACGCTATGACGGGTTCCTCTCGGCTAAATATTCACCCTCTCAAATTCGTATCCAATCCAGTGATTATGACCGATGTTTGATGAGCGCAAGTCTCGTTTTGGCAGGGCTGTATCCCCCGATTGGAGTCCAACTTTGGAACCCGGATTTGCAGTGGCAACCAATTCCTGTCCATTCGGCACCTTTGCAATGCGATGACGTAAGTAAATCACATCATCTTTCAGACCCTCTATTAAATCCCCTTATTTAATATCATCGAATACTTGAAAACTTCAGCAATATATACTCGTCAATAACGCTACATAAATTATTCTAAGAGAGCTGAGCCTGGTTAAAACGGGAGTACGCTCTTCAGCACGGATTTTCAAAGCACAGATTTCCAAATACTCAATAATCTTTGTTGGTAATTCTATTATCAAATCAAAATATTTCTGATTCTCGAGGATCGCTCTGAAACTTCAAATTCGACAAGATTCTAGCATAATTGTAATTTCGTGTTCGTTTTTGAGATACAACAGGAGTTTACTTATTTGACACCCTTGAAAAAAATTCAGACAATTTGCTATACCAACACCACAAAACCACAATTTCAGGCTGATTTGCCACCACACAGAAGGATAATAACTACAAGAATGATTGCAAACGGGTATTCTACTCCAGCCAAAAGTCATGTAACCAACAGTTGAGGGCCCTCGGCCCAGAAGAAGTCATCATAGAAGTAAAAATCGTAGAAGTAGTAAAATCCCAACCGTTGAACAGTTTTTTTTGTGTATTCGTGGCTCAATAATCTGGACATTCCGAAGTATATTAGACGAAAAATTCATGTGATAATTCGAGAATTCGGTAATTTATAAATACTATTACACCACACCAAATATAAATTATGAAGTAAGCGCACAACCGCACAAACTAATCGCAACGCGACGTGGCCAGCACGGGTCACGGTGGAAAGACCAAGAAAAAGAGGTAGTCTAGGTTTATATGGCCTTTATGACGTCATGAGAAATACAGAGGCTTGATCACCAAATCAGGCAGATAATCAGGATGTAATGTTCACTTTGAATAGATGTGGAGATAAGAACTTGGATTAAACTAAAAAGTGAGGAGAGAAGTAAATGTTTTTGGCGGTGGCAAGGTGTGAATGATCGACCATAGATATTTATCCATTTGAAGCTATGGTAAAGAATCGATTACTAAGGTCTTCGTTGCGAACACCCTGTTTATCGATCCTTTCTTGAGGTTTAAATAGCAGATCAATCGATGTCTCGCGAAGCACGCTTCGCGACTGATTTTTGGAGCAGGAGCTTAACAATAGAGATGGAAAGAAGATTAATGCTTGTCTGGTACCCATCTACTGTAATATAACATACAAATAATTGTGTAATATGCGATTACAGATATCCTACTGATAAGACAATAGTCATTCAGCCTTATCAGATAGGACTTAATCACTCCAAGACAGAGAAGAATAATGGACACGTTTGTATTTTTCATTTTTTGTTTGATTTCTACGTTACAGGCTAAATGGTAGTCAAATTAGACACATTACTAAATGTCTATTCAAATAGACTATTGCTATACCATGGATTACAATGCTAGGTTTTTCAGATTTTTGACAGAATATTTTTTCAAAGAATTTGGTAAACGCTCTCTGTGAATCTAATACAATTATTTCATCGTATTTTTTCAGAATGATTCACTGCGAGTGAACAATAAACATATAAATAACTTGATTTTTTATTAGAAGCAACTTTTTGAAAAATTTTCCGGACATAAATTTGTGGTCAATATGAACAATGAATTTAAGGAAATTGGTACCTTTATCAATTTTTCCTTTCAACTTACTGAAATATGCAGACATATAATTTTTTAAAAAAATTTTAAAATATTTTTGGTGGGTTTTCAAAATTTACCTGTTTGCTACGGCAATTGATAAAGTGACTGATAAGCTTAGTTTGCAACAAATTCGTTGTACAGGGTGTCACATACCACCCGCACTAGCGAGCTGATTGTTGAAATTGATAGACAAAGCTATAGACAAAGAAGACAAAAGGGATATGGAGGGATCCTATTTGTAGAAGCGGGTAATTGCAATGGACAAAAGAGGTACGTATTAGACTACCTAACAGCAACCCACGAGAGACCCTACAATAAGTCCACTCGCTTAGTCTATAAGAACTACGAGTTACAACCAATGGGATCACTCCATACTGCCTGTGTCTTCTTTGTCTATAGCTTTGTCTATCAATTTCAGGCTTTTGGGTCGGATGAAGTTGGAGACTGCGAGAACGAAAAGGGAATCTAAGGGATCTGAATATCATGGTCCCGAAGCTTCCCCTGTTAATTCCCCTCTGAAAGTAAAACGGGGGTCATGATTTAGAATATGACGGTCCTAAAGCCCCCTTTGAACATTTTCTAATGTGATACGAGGGGGTTCCTAAACCTGAAGAATTTAGACAATTAAGGACTCCCTCATTATGTCTTCTTGTTACCCAACAGAAAATCAAAGTTTGTAAACCCTGCGAACTAATGTCGAAAGTGGAGGCAGAGTGGTTATCGTTGGTTCAAAAAACACTGGATGAAAATCATGAGTTCGTTTCAAACATCTCAAAAAATACAGGTTACACAATCAAAAACATTTACAGCATTTATGACATCCAAGATAATCTTGCAATTGTGGTAAGTACGATAAATAAAAAGCAGAAATTATCCTAGTTTCATTATTTCTCCAAAGCAATCCTCTCCTCTATATTGAATGACAATTCAATACAATGAAATTCTGTATTGTAATATCGGTTTATCCTTTAATGAAAATAAGCCTATATGGTTATGGCCATATCATGCTCGATTTTTGAGGTTGGGGGGGAGGGGTTAGGGGGTAAGGTTTGGGGGTTTTGGGGTTTTAAGGTAAGGATTTTTAAGGAATGAAAAAGATGATATGAAGAATCAACTCTATTTTATTATTGCATTTAAAAGTCTATGATTTGATGAATTTTGCCACGACGGACGTCATATTCGAAGTAAACGATGACGTCATTGGTTCTTATTATTTTTTCTACCAGAATAATTACTACACGAGAGGAAAAAATTGTTAAAAGTCAGGAATATGGGTTCAAGAACCATTAAACCAATTCAATATGGGTTCGCTTTCTCTTCTCCCTCTTATTTTTTATTTCAATTGCAATTTATTTTTAAAGGCCTCGGCATGTTTGAAGTACTGTAGTATTCTAATTTCCATTTTAATTTTCTCATTATCTTTTATGAAGCAAGAGCAAGGCCTTCCTCTACCAGATTGGGCTCAAGGTGGTGTTTATGAGAAACTTCAGGCACTCTCCGACATCTATAACCTGTACAAAAACGTGTCTCCAACCATGTTCAAGCTCCTAACAGGTATTCGCAATATACTGTATACTCCGTATTTTTCGCGCAAAACGTTGCTCAGAAAAATATAACTGCAGCGGAAGAATAGAAAAAGTACAATAAAAAAAACAATTAAGATTTAATAAATAAAGAAAAAAGAAATAGAATAAATAGAGTATAGAAACAAAAAATGACGGATCAAAAATTGTAAAAAACAGGATGATAGAATAGTGCTGAGCCCACACTATTCTAAAGGGGAAGCAAAACCGAGAAAAATAAAAAGGAGAATTAGAGCTTCATAAAAGAACTCTTTAACACTTTAAAATAAAACTGAGAGACCAGGTGATTAGCCCAGGCAGATGCAAAGAAATTTCTTGCTGAGATCCAAAAAAAGGGCGGGTACCGACTTATTGGCTCTTTTCGGAGCCAATATAGCGGCCGTAGAGAAGCAAGTCAAGCATTAATCTACCGTCCTGTTACCTTAAAGAAATTGAAAGATAACGGACAAAAGCTAGAGCAAACCTCTCAAATCATTTTCCTTTATGGTTAAAAATATTTGGTTAGTGGTAAAAGCAACAAGAGTTGTCCTCTAAATTCAGCGCAGAGCGCTGGGTAGAGCAAACGCTTTCAAGAAACTATTCGTGCTTAGTAGATGCCTATATTGCATATGCAAAAAATTGAAGGCACTCTGATTTTTTTTATCCAAGAAACTATATGGGACCAACTGGAATGACAATAATAAAGCCTTGATACGACTATTTGTGCTCAGTGATTGCGATAGTGATGCTTATCGACGGTAAAATTCTTCATAAACCGCACGAATCTTTGCTTACGTTACTTTACGTTAGGTTACATTACAGACTTCCTGTCGTACTTTATCTTTTAAATGGAAAATCACTCAACGTCAATGCTGAACAAATTCCTCGATTTTTCCTCTCTGGGCGAAGAAAAATCTGTGAAAATTTGAAGGAATGATATTGATCTTGTCTAGGTACCCTTTCAAAAATTAAAGTAGAAATTTTAAATCACCGCATGCGAGATACACGGTTTAGAAATTTCACCATCGATGTACAAAAACTTGAAGACACTAACTACTTTCTTACCCGAGTAACAATACGCACTAATTTCAACCAAACAGCTTGGGACATTTCCTCGCTTAATTATTCGGACGGTAAAATATACTGGTAGCACAGCATCCTGAGCTATCTAATACTTGCGCTGCTCTAATCAAAAAATACGTAGTGAGCTCCGTGTACGTTGAACGCAATTATAACCATTGCTTCTCCAGAATTTTAGGCTACAGAATTCTTCCAAATGTTCTTCAACCCTGTTCGTCCCTAAACTTAGATTTGCCGTGTACGGAACGGCTAAGATTTTCATAATCTTTGAAAATCAATTTTGAATTATGAAACTTTTGACGTAATACACCACTAGACAAGGTGCGAATTTAAGCATTCTGATACATGTTTCCTGGTCAAAATTTCACGTAGAGCACGATGCGCACAACGAAAATTACTTAAACCAACTCCTAACGGAGATATTAACATTTTTATTTCACATTGGTTACAAGGAATTTGAACTGCCCGCTCACAAGAAACTCAAAGCTCTACGTGAGTCAAATCTCGCACTACAGCGGTTTCAGCAAGCTTCTCAATCGAGCAATGTTCATTTCCTACCATGTATTGTTCAAACCATGAGCAATTTGCTATAGCTGAGCCAAAGCGTCAAAATTGAGGCTGCCAGATTTTTAAATCGCAGATACTGTCATGATAACTTTTAGCGCGCGATGTGAATCACGTAGATCATTGAGTTTTCATGAGCGGGTGGTTTCAATTCACGCATCAAGAATCATTGAATATCTTCGTAAGGAGTGAATTTCAGTAATTTCCGTTGTGCGTATCGTGTTCTACGTGAAATTTTGGTTCGGAAACATGTATCAGAATGCTGAATTTCGTACCTTGTCTAGTGGTCCATTCAAGATGAACTAAGACTTCCCTTTTTCTTCACAGGCGTCTTAATAAATGAAATAGTATCAAACATGAAACGGAGAGCGAGCATGACGGAAAATTTTGAGCTTCGAGCAAGTTTGTACTCCGGACACGATGATACGATAGTGGGTCTTTGGGGAGGCCTAAACATCACCTCCGAAATCACAGAGAGACCGCCTTACGGCGCAGCTCTCATCATTGAGCTTCACGAAATTGATGGAAAATACCGGGTGAAGGTGAGTCTTATTCAACATTCCTTCTTCACATGTTTTTGCTCGCTACATTCCGCTTAACGGAAGTCAAATTCAGAGTAAAGTCCGGCATATGTAAGCTGTTTTTCCGTATACATTGGAATGAAGGCGGACAAAGAAAAATTCAAGACCCCATTTCGCTAAATTTTTAACAGCTAAGCGAGAGCAGATCCAACGAAATATGCGTTGCATCATTTAAGAGACTAGCATGCTTGGAGTATGCGAGTTTGTGGTTTTCGACGATTAAATGCTGTCGTGCGACAGCATTTAATCGTAGTACGAAGGTCCTAAGATAGTGTTTTTGGCAAATTCTGCCATTCTGGATTTTTGAATTTTAAAAATCTGAGTTGAGATTCAAGTTCCTCGTCAAAAAATACCCCCTGACACCATGTTTCATAAAAATCGATTGAACAGGAGCCCAATGCTTTGGGATCAATGGGACTCTAAACAGTGGTGAACGGTAACAGTCAATTTTCATACGTTATTGCGCCTTCAATTGAATTTGATACTGTGCAATACTCTCGTGGTGGAATAGTTGCATTGGCGCCTACAAACCTAACAGGGATACTTCACGCTTTGCGCAATGCGTGAAGTATCCCTGTTAGGTTTGTAGGCGTCAATGCAACTATTCCACCACGTAAGTATTGCACCGTATCAAATGTAATTGAAGGCGCACTAACGTATGGAAATTGACTGTTACCGTCATAGTGTCAGGTATTTTTTAACGAGGAACTTGAATCTCAACTTCTTTTGAATTTTTAAAATTCAAAAATCCAAAATGGCAGAACTTTCCAAAAATGTTACCTTGAGACTTTCGAAATTTAAGACGGTTCACCGCCTGACTCACGCATCACCATGGAAAAATGCTCATAATATCAATTAATCGCTCAATTGATGGAACTTTACTCACTAAAAAACAAATTGTAAAGCTCCAAAGGGAGTTACCGTCAGTTGAGTCATAACCATAGGTGTCAGCTGAGACCATTATCAACAAGCGAGGATTGCACAAAGTATTTACAATGATTATTAACAACTGATTACGTGCTTAGTTCAAAATGTACACATCAGTATCTTGTTCTTTTACTAGAGCGTAGCAAATTTTTACAGGCGGGTTACCCGCAATGTATATACTTCCGTTTGAATGTTTATCGCTTGGCTCATCCAATCACTAATTGCAATATGGGGATGTTCAGTATCAATTCATGAAATTATGCGCATAGTTTTTTTTTTAGCAAAATTCGTACGATTCTTCGTACACTATGCTGCCGTGCTAAGGGAGCACGCCGCATGAACATTCGAGAGTTGCCAAACTTCCTTCACTAACATTTTTATTTTTGAGGAAATTTATGAATATTTTCACTTGAAATTTTCAGGAACTTAAGGTGAATTTGCGAAAAAATATCTAAAAAATTGGGAGAAAAATATTCATAAGTTTACCGAGAAATTTGTGTTTTATCGAAGAAAATTTGGCAACGCCTGAAGGTTCATACGACGTTCTTCCTCAGCGCGGCAGAATGGGCCTCTAGATAATGCAAACGTGATTTCTTTCCATTTTACGTCAGAACCGAATCACACGATGGCAAGTCTACAATCAACTCTTGAACAAGATATAATTATTTGACACAGACATTGGTTAAATTTCAAACGTACAAATGACGTCATTTGTATAATCTAACTACCATTTATCTGCCAGGTTAAAGATACGCGTTAATATCTTGTCAAGGAGCTAATTTTTGAGCCTCCCATCGTGAGAATCGTTTTTGACGTAAGATTTTAAAGAAAAGTCTAGACTTAATTTTTGGTTCTGTAGACTACGATGACAGGCCCTTTAAGAAAGCATTCTAGTTCAAAATTGGAAAAACATCGTTTGTTTGACGAAGTTAAGTAAGCGAATAATGAGCGGAAGGAATAAAAGAGGCTTTTCCGTGCTTTGCAATATTCTAAAGTGACATTCCATAAATTGAGTTGGTGACATGAAGTGATCCGCAATGTTAGATACAGGAATTTTGGATAAAGAAAGATTTTACTTTTTTCTTTCTTCTTGACGTCTCTCTTAGCGATATGGACTCTTCATATTGATTTAACATAATAAATTTATCTTTTGATTACTTTTTCTGCATTCACAGACATTACCTCGAGACATTGTCAAGTAATCATGCCGGGAAATTTTAAAAGGAAATCGGGAAGATTTTATTTACTGATGATGGTTCGTTTTTGTTCCCCTAGTATTGCTGGAATTAAAAGTCCAATTTAGTTCACTAATCTGAGGATAAGTACAATCTTTTGAAAGAGCTTTTTAAAAGTTACTTTTATATGAAACTTGTGACGATGATGACCCCATATATAATCAAAACACTGTAGGAATCTGATGTAACTGATGCGTGTTAGCTGACAATGCTCACCGCAGATAATATTCTCTCATTTTTCAGATCTTGTACAAAAGGAGTTATCTCGATGAGACTTTGGAGGTACTGAAAATTCAAGGCTGCAAAGATGGCAAGGGCATCGGGCAAGATGACACGTGTGACCTAGACCTCTTTTCAAAAGCATTAGGACCTGCTATCATTGAAAATTTTGAAAATGAGTGCAAAATCCTTTGAGGAAAATCAGCAGGTCATCAGGAGGCACTCACCGATCATCGAACCGGAGCAGCTACTTGCATACACTGAAAAAGAAAATTGGTAGAATTTACCATTCCTTCATGCTGTATTTCACACAGCGTGAGTTTAAAGTCGATTCTGCCAGAGGAATGGTTACCTGTACCAGTATATAATAACGTTTACCTTTCTTGTGGCAGAATTGACTCTGCATTGACGCTGTGTGAAATACAGCGTGAAGGAATGGTATTTTCTACCAATCTTTTTTTTTCAGTGTATGCTGCGTGCATTGTTTTAAAACAAGATTGTTGTCCATTCGTTTATATCTTAGTTTGGCACTTAGAAGCATACGCGACCATTGGAGTCATCTTGATGTTACGACATTTTCATACAACTTACACCGAGAAAAAAATTAGCATGATTGAGAAATGGATCCTAATATCAGGGATTAGCCATAAATCACGTAACGTGAGATGTCCGATGTTAGGCTTTGCACGAAGGAAAATGAATTTCGGCTAAACCATAGGGGCAGTCTTAATATAGGTACCTTTAAAAACTTACCACAAAGGTAGGGAATATCGAAAAAGTATGATCTTATGCAAATTACAGTATTTAATGCCGAGCTTCGGTTGCCCCAAAACCCCCATCGGCTTAAGCACGATACGATCTGTGGTACTATCACTGAAAGTTTTTGGAGGCAAATGTCGATATCTCAACGTGGTTTTTCCGACCTTCACGTTTCCTCAAATTGGCAGAGATGAAAAAATCAGACTGCAAGCCTCGAAATTTGGCTCAAATGAAAAACCAAGGTTCTCGATATGGTTAACTGAGGTTGTCGATCATGCGATCCAAACTTTGGCCCAGTTATAACTAAAATCTTTACGAATCTCAGTGCGATTAACAAAAACTTTGGTTACCTGAATCGAAGTCCAGTCCCTGGGACCGAAAATTCCACCTACCTAGACAAAATAATTTGGCGTAGGTACAACGTCGTCACCTTCCAGTCAAAGTATCACAAGCGCTATACGACGTTTCAAAAATTCCGCCCCAATTTTACTTTTTATTGAAAAATCGTTGGTTGAATCTGTTTGATAATTTCACTGAATTTTATCGGCAGCACAAACAAAATTCAGTGAAATTTTCGGACAGCTACGTGGAAAAATTACTCTGTAAAAAAATAAAATGGCGGCGGAAATTCTGAAACGTCGCATGGGGCTTGTGATACTTTGGCCGGGGGGCGACGACATGGGCCAAGGTTTTTTCTCCGTATACAGCGTGTTCTGTAACATTACGTCGAAGAATAATGTGAACTTGACTATAATACTTTGACATACTTCATAGCACTTTATAAAAATGTATTCCATAGTATACAAAATCATACGTTATATCATAATGCGGAAGGGATAAGTGAGCTCATCAAAAGTTACTCTAAGAAATGTTCAAGTTTGTACGTCGCGTGTTTTTTTTTTTTTTTTTTTGCTAAGCGGATTGCTTAAGAAACTTACATTATGGCGTAGAAGTCTAAAAACTGCTCAACGATGGAATAGAAAAAGAGTGAAATAGGAAAAATTAGAATCGCTGAAAGTCTGAATCCTTCGAAGTTTATATTAATGATGATGTCATAGGCAGAACTAGGCCAAGATCTATTCAACATCTCTATGAAATTGTGAGGGCCTCAGCAAGCGGACGCGCAAAATATTTTTAATCCATGAAATTCATACTTTAAAAAACCACGATTTTTTCTGAGAAGACACAAGTTTTAAAATCTACACAAGTGAGAGATCCTTTTTCAAGACATTAATACCTTGAGAAATCAGTGTTATTCATCGCTTCTCGGCTCGAAAGCCTCACCAAACTCGACAAAAAACATTTAACCAACCAAACTGGTCGAACAGGTAAATATTGGTCAGAAAGACTCATTTTTCTTAGAAATTACCCGCTTTCTCCGCTTAAGCGACCTCGCAAAGCCTCGGGACCCTGCGCAATCGATTCTGTAACTACATGAGATCCGAGTGTTATCTCGAAATTATTTCCACGACCAAAATCGAGGAAAATCGACAGGAGTACCATGGACTAAATTTTTTGGGTCGAAATTGAAAGTTCGCCGATCGGGCTGAAACCAAGGAAGCTCGCTTAGAAATGACCCGCTGAGTGCGACTTTCTGGTCGGAAAAGCTCTGCGAGTCCGTCGCTTCGAGCAATCCGCGGAAAACCACTCCTGGAAACAGTCCAAAACTGGTCAGAAACACTCGTTTTTGACCAGTTTTTGACTATTTCTCGGCTCAGGTGACTTCGCCGATCCTCGGGACCATGCCCAATCGATTCAGCGCTATCAACGTCATAGGATCCGAGTGTAATCTCGAAATTTTTTTCTCAGTCCCAAATCGAGAAAAATCTAAAGAAGTACGTGCCATGGACTAAATGTTCGGGGTCAAAATCGAAAGTTCACCGATCAGGCTGAAACCAAGGAAGCTCGCTCGGAATTGACCCGCTAAGTGCGATTCTCCAGTCGGAAAAGCTCCGCGAGTCCCTCTCTTCGAGTTATCCGCTTAAAATTGCTCTAGAGAAAGAATCAAAAATTTGTTAGAAAAGCTCGTTTTTTACCTGTTTTTGACTGTTTTTCGGCTCAGGAAGCCTCGCAGAGAGCCAAGACTGTGCGGAATCGATTCTACGCCTCCAACTACATAGGATGCGACTGAAATTTCAATCATTTTTTCTCAGTCCAATCTCGAGAAAAATTGACATTGGTTATATGGACTAAATTTTTAGCATCAAAATCGAAAATTCGCCGATCGGGCAGAAACCAAGTGAGCTCGCTTGGAATTGACCCGCTAAGTGCGATTTCAAGTTGGGATAACTCCGCGAGTCCCTCGCTTCGAGCTATCCGCTAAAAACGCTCTAAAGAAAGAATCAAAAAGTGGTCAGAAAAGCTCGTTATTGACCAGTTTTTGACTGTTTCTCGGCTCAGGAAGACCCGCCGAGAGTTGAGACCGTGCGGAATCGATTCTACGCCTCCAACTATACATAGGATGCGACTGAAATCTTGAAATTTTTTTCTCAGTCCCAAATCGCGAAAAATAGAGAGGGGTTACATGGACGAAATTTTTAGCGTAACGATTCAAGCTAAAGATTTTACGCCTCCAACTACATAGGATGCGACTGAAATCTTGAAATTTTTTTCTCAGTCCAATAACTAGAAAAATTGACAGGGGTTACATGGACCAAATATTTCGGGTCAAAAATCGAAAGTTAGCCGATCGGGCCGAAACCAAGTAACCTCGCTTGGAATTGACCCGCTGAGTACGATTTTCTTGTCGGAAAAGTTCCGCGAGTCCCTCTCTTCGAGCTATCCGAGGAAACCAGTTTTTGACTGTATCTCGGCTCAGGAAGTCCCGCCGAAAGTCAGGACCGTGCGGAATCGATTCTACGCCTCCAAATACGTAAGATGCGACTGAAATCTCGAATTATTTTTCTCACTCCGAAATCGAGGAAAATCGAGAAGGACTAAATTTTTAATGGTCAAAATTGAAAGTTCGCCGAACGGGCCGAAACCAAGCTAGTCCGCTTGGAAATGACCCGCTGAGTGGGATTTTCCAGTCGAAAAAGCTCCTCGAGTCCCTCGCTGCGAGCTATCCGCTGAAAACGTACCAGAGAAAGAGTCAAAAAATGGTCAGAAACACTCGTTTTTGACCAGTTAGCCTGAAGTCAACGAGACGCCTTCAAATGGCCGGGTATGCAAAATGACTGCCGTGACGCACGAATAGTGGTATCAGAATTTTACATTAAGTTTACGGATTGATTTGAAGGCGCTCTTCTGTATCTATTGTGAGTGGCCTTGTACAATGATGTTGACCAAAAAGTTCATAATTTTGGGTGTTTAAATTGAGTTGCATATTGGGAAAATGCCGAGGAATATTATTGTGAAATAATATTAAGATTGTTTTTGGTATCTACGTCCTTTTTAAATGAAGAGAGCGCAGGCGGCTGGATCAGATTGTGTATTTTAAGTCCCTTGGTTCGGTCATCGTATTCTGAAGTGAAACTGAAAGAGTCGCCGTTTTCAAGATTGCAACTTACTCAAAAACGGTCGTGAATTTAAATAGTTTCGCACGGATAAAATGACTTTTCTTTGATTAACTGTGAATAATCAATATTGAAGAAAAAGTACTTTGTCCACTGGTCCATTAGGAAAGCGTAAAGCATGGATTAATGGAGCATCGATGACCAACTAAATCTTATCTGATAAGGAAATTTAAGTGTGAAACCCTTTTTTCCGTCTTTAAATGATCCAAATCCACCAACAAGTTTAAAACACTAAGTGCAAAAATGCGAATCTACTGATGAAGGGTCGATTCTTAGTTCCAAAAACGCGAATCTCGGCATTTCTGCCGTATTTTCTAACAGTTCGAGAAATTATTGAAACTGCTGAAGAAGTTTGAAATACTATCTTATCATTGCCATCCACAAGAATTATTAATAAGAAGGGTAGAAGGTTAATCCCTTCTGCCGACAATAAAGAGGAATGCAGACAGTTTTTTTACTCTCCTGGAAAATCGTGTTTTCCGAGATTCGCACTTCTGCACTTTCACCATCTATAAAGTGCTTTAGTATCGTTTAATTAACATTTCCACAGGCAGTGATTATGATTGTTCAGTCAGTAATTTTTTTTTCTCATTAATTTCTTCACAAAAATTCTCAGGTATATATGTTGCAGGCAATTAGCAATCGCCGGCAAATTGCAATCTATTCGTGTTTAATCAACGAATTTAATCGTTTTAAAGTGAAAAAACGAGATTGGAAGTAGGGATTATTATGCTTTGAATTCAAACATACGTTAGCCCCTTCTTCTTGGATACATGGTGCCAGCTAGCAGACTCGCGAGTTCGTGAAATGCCATCAATAATCTGTGTTAGGTTCGGTTAAGCAACTAAACTAACTCCTTGGCAAAGCGGAGAGTATCGCTGGATTTGAAGGCGTAAAGAAATCTTTACTATATCGATGTTATGGTAATTACAATTTGACGAATTGACAAGTAAGGAGCTTGCAAATTGCCGGCGATTGCTGACTCCCTGCGACTTATACACTGATACATATTTCAGAGATAACAAGGCGCATACAGGCAGTTTTTAAAAAAATGGAGACAGTTTTAATTTCAAGTAAAACTAGTCTTGATGCATATTCCGTGAAAAATTCGCTCCCAAATTCCAATTTTTAAGCATCAAAATGTCAGTTTGAACTTTTATTCCGTCATAAGGATCCATGTATACGAGTAATTTCGAAACTTCAAACACGTATTTCTCGAAATAGCAGGAACTGCACTTGTCCGCCATGTGCGCCTTGTCCTCCAAGCCTATCGATTATCTCGTGACGTTGACTCCTTTGGATCTTAGCTCGCTTGGAATTGACCCGCTAAGTTCAATTTTCGAGTCGGAAAAGCTCCGCGAGTCCCTCGCTTCGAGCTATCCGCTGAAAATGCTCCAGAGGAACAGGCAAAAAGTGGTCAGAAAAGCTCCTTTTTGACCAGCTTTTGACTGTTTCTCGACTCAGGAAGCCTCGCCGAGTGTCGGGAGCGTGCGGAATCGATTCTACGCAACCGACTACATA